GTTGGTCTAAATAAATCCATGTGCAACAACTCAAATGCCTTAGATGTGCTCATCATGCTCTTCTTAGGATGTGTGTTTCCAACTTGCTTTCTGGCTTGACATGCACTACATAGCTTATCCTTCTCAAATGTGACATCTTTCAAGCCTCTAACTAAGTCATACTTGATCAACTTGTTCAATTATTTTATTCCAACATGACCAAGCCTTCTATGTCATAACCAACCCATGCTAGACTTAGTGAGCAAACATGTTGATAATTGAACTTCTCTAGCATTGAAATCAACCAAGTATAGATTCTCATATCTAAATCCTTTGAATATCAAGTTAAAGCCATCTATACTTATGATCTCTACATCATCCACACCAAATATGCACTTGAAACCAAGATCACACAATTGAGCCACCGACAATAGGTTGAAGTTCAAACTCTTTACTAGCAGCACATTGAAAATGCTCGAGTCATTGGATATTGCAATCTTACCAAGACCCTTGACCTTGCCTTTGCCATTGTCACAAAATGTGATACTATCAATCCCATTGCTCTCATTTTCATTGATTGAATTGAACATTCTTGAATCACCGATCATGTGTTGTGTGCACCCACTATCAAGCACCCAATGCCTTCCTCTAGCTTTATAATTGACCTACAAAAGAAGATCAATTCTTTTTAGGTACCGAAACTTGCTTGGGTCCTTAAAGGTTAGTTACCAAGGTTTTTGGTACCCAAATGGCCTTTTTCTTTGGGCCCACAATTGGTGTACCAATGAACTTAGCCTTCACACCATTAGCACCCTTAACAAGCATGCAACAAGAATCAAATCTAATTGAGGATATATTAGGTTGCTTCTTCTTGTTAGTCTTCCAATATTGCTCTATATGCCCAACTTGCTTGCATCTATTGCAAAACCGACCATTGCCCTTCACAAAGCTAACTTTGGGAGTGACCAAAGCCACCTTGCCTTTCTTGGGGGTATAGCCTAATCTCTCTTTGTTGAGAGAAAACCTTTGGCTACCCAAGCATTTTAGCAAACGGGCATCTCCACCATTGGCATTGCCTAAGGCACGAGTGAGCTCATTCACCTCCTTCTTGGAGGTCTCATTTTCCACCATTAGTGAGACATCACAAGTGAAACCATCACTCAAAGGTGAAGTAGAAGTGGTAGTGCTACAATAAGGGTTAGTGGGAGCAACAACAATGGGCTTATAAAAAGATTCATCAATAATATCACATGTTAGTCCCACATCACAAGACACAATCACTTGCTCCTTCTTGGCTTCCTCCTTCTTGACTTCTCGATGAGAGAGGAGTGAGTCTTTTCAAGCTTAGAGTGAGCTTTGCCAAGCTTCTCATGGGCTTCCATTAGCCTCTCATGAGTGGCATTGAGCTCATCAAAGGATTGCTCAAGAAATTTGACTTTCTTGCACAATTCTTTGCACTCCTTTCTATTCATCTCAAAGCAAGTGTGCACTTGCTCACACATGTCCATGAGCTCCTCCTTGGTGTACTCCTCCTCATCATCATCATCACTCCTACAAGCATCACTTTCACATTCATCATCATCACTCACATCATATTTTACTTTGGTAGGCTTTGCCATGAGGCATGTCGATGGAGTATCGAAGATGGAAGGCTTGTTGTTGATGGTGATGCTTGCTAGTACTTTCATGATAGATTTCTTGTCATCATCACTAGAGCCATCACTATCCAAAGAGCCATCACTATCCCAAGTGACCACATAGCCTCCACCCTTCTTTTGGAAGGTCATCTTCTTTTCCTTCTTGTGCTTCTTCTTCTCATCCTCATCATTGTCACTATTGTAGGGACAATCGACTACAACATGATCGGGGCTCTTACAATTGTAGCATCTTCTCACATATTCTTTGCTCTTGGTGTGATCTCTTCTCTTTCTTGCACCATAGCCCTTCTTCTTTATGAATTTTCCTATCTTGCGCACAAAGAGAGCCATAGCTTCATCATCGATGTCACTAAAATCCTCATCATTACTTGATTCTTTCTTGGACTTGCCCTTGTTCTTAGATGATAAGCTAGCCTTGAATGCCACACTCTTCTTCTTCTTGTCTTCTTCCTTCACAAGCTCTTTACCATCACTATTGTATTGGTCCTCGGTCATCACATCACCAAGCACCTCATTTGGAGTGACATCCTTCAATCCACCTCTAAAGATGATAGTTCTCAATGTCTTGAATCTCTTTGGCAAACACATCAATAACTTGTGAGAGAAGTCCTCATCCTTCACCTTCTCACCCAAACTCTTGAGATCATTGATGATGACTTGTAATCTATAGATCATCTCCGAAATGGATAAATCATCCTTCATCTTGAAGTTTGATAGCTTGTCTTTGAGCATATAGAGCTTGGCACTTTTTACCATTGAAGTGCCCTCATATGTTTCTTCTAGTCTCACCCAAACTTTACTTGCCTTCTCAAGATCTTTGATTTGCTCAAACACCTTTGAATCAATGCCATTGTATATTATGTTGAGTGCCATAATGTTGCATTGCTTGTTGATCTTGTCATTCTCGGTGAGATTGGTAGGGTCAATGATCACAAACTCATTCTCTATCACATCCCACACCTTGTCATTGATTGAACCAAGGTACATCTTCATCTTTCTCCTCTAATAATCAAAAGATGTGCTATCAAAGAACAGTGGTTTGCCCCCAACATGGTTGAACAATATTTGAGCCATATTTTGCACCGAAGGTTGTTTAGCCTTGAATCAAACGATGACCATAGCTCCGATACCACTTGAAAGGTCCTAATATGGCTAGAGGAGGGTGAATAGCCAATTTAAAAATCTACATGATCACTAGAGCAACCTCGGCGCGAATGTGATCAATGAATATGAAAACTACAACCCTATTCTTCTAAATAGGGTATTCCTCACGCTACAAGGATGCATGATTGAAGTTATGAAAGATAATGGAGGAAATAGGTATAAGATCCCCCACATGAATAAGGAGAGGCTGGAGGCAGCAGGCATGCTTCCCAAATCTCTTAGTTGTGACAGGGAGATAGTTTAGAAGGCAATCTGAATACCCGGTTAATATGACACTATGCTGATAGGCTGTTGGGATCGATAAGCAATGTTGGTAACTAAAAACTAATTTCAATATTGAGCTAGTTAACTGACTAACATAATTCATACCCAAAAGCTAACTTCGATTAGCTAGTTGAAATCTGACCACACTACATATCATAGTCAGTGAGACACACAAAAGCAGCACTTCGTCATCACAGATACTACGCACACATCACATGAACTAGCTAGTACGGGATGTAGAAGGAAGTGAAGGCAACCTTGATCATGCTGACAAAGACTTCCCGGTTGGCCTCTTTGATGCCAGTAAGCCAAAGCTCCATGCACTGAACCATCTCTTCGGTTAGTACGTTGTCGGCAACCGTGGTAGCTTTGATTGTGCCCACCTCCAAGGGCACCTTGCCGGTTGTAGCAACTCAACGGCCATGGGCCCATAGACCTTGGCGGAGCTTTGGACGGTAGCTCTCCTCCAAGGCACTGTCTTCAGCCTCTGAGTCGAGAACATATAACTGTCCCTCGCAGTCCACACGTAGCCGACCACGTTCGTTGCGGCACCTGCGCACGTTGCTCCTGTCTCCAACCTGTTCGATCCCATCGCCGCAGCCCATCTCGACGATGTGCTTCGGGCTCCCATTGCGGCCGCAGCTCCCCAAGTTGAGAGCGTAGGTGCCATCAATGCCGCCCTCCACCGCCACAACACCCTTCCGGATGGGATCGCTACCACAACTCCCCAATACAGGCTTCAGGCCGCAGCTACCGCTGTACCCCACCTCCATGACGTGCTTCGGGCTCCCATCGTAGTCGCAGGTACCCATTTTGGGACCGTAGCTGCCGCCGTCGCCTCCATCTCCAACCTCAATGGCACGCTTTCGGCTAACATCGTGGCCGCCGCTCCCTAGCTTAGGGGAGCATGTCCCGTCGCCACCGCCGCCCCTAGCTTCAGGGCATGCTTGGAGGCCACATCGCCGCCGCAGACCGCCGGCTTGACAACGGGCTCGGGGTTCCCATCGGTTTTGCTGCTGCTGCCTCTCAGCTTTGTGCCACGCTGCTTCGCCCAGGTACGACGGCGAATCCAGGCTAGGCGGTCGGCGCCGCCCAGCGCCAGCCATGCCCGATGGGGAGGAGATGGAAGACGGGGATGTGGAGGAGATGGAAGACGGAGAGATGGGGAGGCAGAGGAGATGGGGATGCGGCACTGGGATGCGGAGGAGATGGAAAACGGGGAGATGGGGAGGCGAAGGAGATGGGGATGCGGCACTGGGATGCGGAGGAGATGGAAGATGGGGAGATGGGGAGGCGAAGGAGATGGGGATGCGGCACTGGGATGCGGAGGAGACGGGGATGGGAGCCGACGGAGATGGAGAGGTGGATGTGGATGGGTGTGCTTCCTCCGTCCGTGACCGAGAGGATAAGCCTCTGGAGATATTTTTTCCTTCCCACCGGTTGTTTCCTTTTTTACTTTTTTATTCGTGGAGTGGGAGAGAGGAACGTGATGGATGGACGGTTGCAGTACTCAGTACTCAGTATAGGGTAGTAGGAGCTAAAACGACATCTATTCTGATACTTCTTTTGAATGCTTGGACATCCTGTATTGAGGGACGGAGGGAGTAGAACGCTACTGATAAAAGGAAAAGGACATGCATGGACATCATAGTCTGCACCGGCCTACCTATCAAAGTTTCTGCACTGACCTACATAATGTAGTCTGCAAAGGAGCACACATCATAGTCTACAGAATCATACACATCATAGCCTCCACCGACCTACAAAAGATAAAGGAGGCCCTATGGAAAATACGTCCTCGCTTGTGACGCACAGCACCAGGACCACGTCTCGCGGCCCGCTGCGCTGCTCTGGTCTGCAGCCGGTCGTACGTAAAGGGATTCGGAGGGGCCCTGGTGCATCTGCAGCTGGTGACGCGAACTCCTAGATGTAGCCCTATGTCGGAGGCACTGGCGCGTCACCCAACCACGAAGGACCTACAGTATATTCATGTTCGGCGTCAAGATCTGCAGCGCCGAGCTCGACGCTAAGATACGTGGCGTCGAGATCGATGACATGCATACCAAGGCGTTCATTGTGATGAAGATGTAGGGGCTGACCTTGGAAATGGGCTTCAGCTGCATAAACTTGATCTTGCTGGACATGAGAGATTTTGTCTTCTTGCTCATATGCAGGTTTTTGATTGAGATCAGGTAAGAGCTCTCCATGTTGATCTGGAAGTTGGGCTTCATCTTCATGAAGTTGATCTTCCTGGAGATGAGCGATTTCATCTTCCTCATGTGCAGGTTCTTCATTGAGATCAGGTAAGAGCTCTCCATGTTGATCAGGAGGAATGTTGAGATCTATGGGCATGGCTGATGATGAAAATGGCTTCGAGGCTGATGGAGGGGAGGCTGGTGTGAGTGGATGATCTTGTGGGTATTGCAGGGAGAGCTTATACGAGGGGAGGCTGATGGGAGTGGATGATCTTGTGGGTGTTGCAGGGAGAGCTTATACAAGTGGGGTGGCACAGGCGGGAAATCACTTGGAGATCACAGGTGGGAAATCACTTGGAGATGGTTCAAATTTTGGACACCGCGTGGATCATTCTCAGCCACAAACTAGTGTTCATGGAAGCTTTGTTTATTTTTTCTTTGTCTCCAGTCTTCTGGCCATGTTGTGCCAACCTTTGTGTAAAGACACGTGTAACACCAGCTACATTTTTTTCTAGGGCCATATCCTGTGCAATGATTATGGAGCTGAACTCTAGTTTAGTATGTCAGAGCAACAGTAGGGGTATTTTGGTCATTTGCGTTGGTGCATTGGTACCTCCCTTAGGTTTTACAATTGCAAAATTTACGGGACTGAGGGAGTATCTCCAAATTGGCGTTGTTATTTCAAGATGGCTTGCCAGATGTTGAGAGATGCCCATCACTTGATCCAACTCCGCCGAGCTAGTTGGGCCAACTAGACCGGACCAACCAGTTAGCCAACTCATCTGGGTCATGTGGGCCACCCAAAGGTCAGCCAGGAGCTCAGGTCCATCTGGATCGACCTCCTCTCCAAGGTCGGTAACAACTTACTACTCGTGATTATATTCTGCAGTGATTTGATTGATCATATCACACTGATGATTACTAAGTAATTAACATGATCTTGGACAGTGCGACGCGTCGCTGGGGATGAAGATTGCCACACGGCTGAAGCCTGAACGTGAAGCCAAGCATGTGAGTTTCGACCTGCAGCAGCAGCAGCATCAGGCCATCAGCAGGCAGAGGCCGAGACGTGTACGAGTTGTTGTTGAGTCCTTGATAGATGATGCATTAGGGGGTGTCTGGCTTAGGGTGGGCTAAACTTTAGCCCTGCCAAATCGAATGTTTAGATACTAATTAGGAGTATTAAATATAATCTAATTATAAAACTAATTACACAGATGTAGGTTAATTCGTGATACGAATTTATTAAGTCTAATTAGTCCATGATTTGACAATGTGGTGCTACAGTAACCATTTGCTAATTATGGATTAATTAGGCTTAATAGATTCGTCTCGCGAATTAGCCTAGGGGTTATACAATTAGTTTTATAATTAGCTCATGTTTACTTCTTCTAATTAGCATCCGAACATCCGAGTCATCCGGCGGTAGGTTCGTGCTTCCACCGTATGAATCGGTGGAAGGGGCGTGGGCCCTGGAGCCGACAGGTTCCGTCGTATGAGACGGCGGTTTTCTGCTGCCCGCCGTTTCAAGCGGCGTGGCACCCCTGTTTCCCGTGCGCGGTTGATTTTGAATTCGTACCGCCACTTCGTATGATTACCGCCGTTTCAACTGGCTCTAGGGGAACCTACCGCCCAACCAAACGGCGGCCGTCGTTACATCGGGTCTAGATCTGCTAATTTTTTACACGGGTATTTATTTCTGCAAATTCGTAAAAGAAAAAACATAAAAATTCTTTTTGGTAAGCTATGACCCCCACGCGTCACATTGACAAAAGGAAGGTCCGTTACATGGGCCGGCCTACCTGAGCCTCACAGGGAAATTAGACATTATTGTTGGGTGGGTTCGTCCGTTGGTAAGGCACACGTCTCGTATAGAAGCCCAGTGGCCCAAACTGCATATGGCCTCGTATAGAAGTGCACCCACCCACCCACGAATTCGTAACCCTAAGGCATCGTTCGTTTCTCACGGAACCGTCCGGAACGAGACCCAATCCGCCTGGTTCAGAACGACCTGGAACAAAAAAACCCAGCCAACAAAGATTGCCGTTCGGTTAAGCTTGGTCTGGAATAGAATCCGACCAGTCTTGGACATTCTATGTGATCTACGACCAGTTTTGCTTCCTCGTTTCTTGACATCCGGAACCAAATCACCTGGATCTCACTTGATCCCCTCCTAGGACCATTCCTGCTGCAGTTTCATTCCCAAGAAAACGAACAAGGGCCTAAATCAGCTTTGGTCCCTGGAATCTGGAAGCCGCCGGATCGCCGCCGCCTCCGCTCCCGCACGCCTCTCATCACCTTACAAATCCCCCGATTTGTCCTCACAGAGATTCCCCTTGGCCCTCCTAATCTCGCGATCTGTTTCAAGCTAGGTCGCCATGTCCACCGCCGCCGGCTTCCCCAACTGGGTGATGCTGGAGCCCGTCGTGTTCCGCAGGGACGACGACAAGTCTTTCCCGGACGAGAGCAAGGCGCCCGTCAGGGCGTCCGGCACCACCTCCTGGGAAGCCCAGTTCCGTTTCGCCTTCGACCTCGCGGAGCCCCCGTCCATCTCCCGCATCTTCGCGCAGCTGCCGGGCTTTCCGGGTCCCAGCAAGGAGAGTCCCTTAGCCATGTTGACGACCCACCGCCATCTCGCCCTGTTTCGCGTCGGTACCACGGGGCCATGTCGGCGTAAGAACTTCTTCATCTACAGCGCCGGCAAGCCTTCCTCGCTCGAAAAACTCCCCACTTGCACCCGGGATTTGGAACGTGTCCTCCACGATGGCAGCCCATCTCGTCGCCCTCCTGAAACGGGGAAGATGTCGCGCCTGCATAGTGTCAGATCCATGGGCCTCTTGTGCCAAGGCGAGGAAGAGTTCGCGGTGGCGGAGCTGCACCTCTACCCGGACAAACGCAAGCGTAAGGTCTTCGCCGACATCTACTTGTTCTTGAAGTCAGCTGGCAAATGGACCTCTTCGCGTTTACCCATCCTCCACAGCGACGATCCGGATGATGCCTGGCAGCTCTGCATCTGGCTGACCGACACGGTCATCCCTGTCGACCGCTGGCTGTGCTGGATTGACTACGACCGAGGCATCCTCTTCCATGACGTGTTTGGGGCGGCGGCTACTGTCTCCTTCCTCCGCTTCCCTCTGCACAAGTTCTCTCGTACTCCTCCCGAGATCAGACGGGAATGCAGCGGCAGGATATACCGTGGTGTGTCCGCCATTGATGCTGCCGGTATGCTCAAGTTTGTCGATGTCACCCGCGATGATGGCATTGGCTACGGGGCACTCAAGCCCGGTGCTGGCTTCACCATCACCTGCCACACCCTCCTCCCATCATCTCTAAGCAGCGGCATGGTGTGGAACAAGGACTGGACAGTCACCTCTGATGAGCTCTGGACTGATAATCGCCTCCCGCGCGAGGTTCCCATGTTCCCCCAAGTGAACATCGACAGGCCACATGTAGTGCATTTCCTTATCAGCGACTTCACATACGTGATGAAGAAGATGTGGGTGGTCACCATTGACATGAACACCAGGACCGTCGAGTCATTTTATCAGTATATCAATGGTGAGGAGGACATTGGAACTGAGCGTGAGTTCTTGACCAAGGAAAGGTCCATGGGTCCCAGGCCCTTCCTCCCCAGTGAGTTCTCCAAGTACCTTTCCTCAAGGTAATACTAATTGCTAGCTGCTGGCATTTATCTATCTTTCACCTAGCTGCTTAGTAGATTTTTGCTGGTTGCATGTTTATCCCTTGCATATATGCAAGTTGTTCACCACATTAATCGTTAGCATTTGACTTCATCTTTAATCAAGTGTTTGTTTTTGGCAATTCTTTCCTAAGTATAAATATATATAGCACAACTACTTTACCAAGCACCTTTGCATGCTAGCTTTCTCTTGCTAACAGAATCAATGCAAGTTTGATTTGAACATCATCCATCTAGATCGCTTTTTTCACAGTATTTATGTATTGCAGGACGGGGCTTCCGTCGGTGGAATGACTCACATCAATATATATATTTGGTTCCACAAGATAGGAAGGCTTCTGTTGTGTTTGTCAACAAAATTGAAGGAGATGTTTCATGTTGTGGCCGAGGAAGGATCTATCTTATGGTCTGTTTTTATGCTGTATGAACGGATAAGTTATATCAAGTTTATCGTGTGTTGTAAAAAAAGATGTTTATCGTGTGTCCAGCCTTTTTAAGTACAATCATTATGTGGATGAGTCACTTGGTCCTTGAACTTAAAAATGATTGCTCCTTCCTTGTGAATGTTTAAAATGTGGTGTAAAATGGAAACTAAATAAACCTCCAAACTTTGCTAAAAATGTTTTGAAGCATCAAGATATGCTTAATTGCCGCTTTCCTCTCTTCTGGGCCTCGCCGCAAGACATGGAGTTCCACATCGAAGAACCGAGTACTATATATAGGTGAAGACTCGGTTCTTCGAATTTTTTTTTTTAAGACCCGGTTGTGCTGTATATACATATATATATATATATATATATATATATATAGCTGCTTCCCTGTCAACGTGGGACTCCATATTAATGTTGAGTCGATTTTGATGATGATTCATGATATATCATCAGTACTTTCCCTCTAGAATAGACCTTTCACCATATAAATATAAAGGACCACGGTTGACTGGGAGAATTCAATCGATCAAAATATATAAACTTTACCATTTTTATCTCTCTAAACCCTAAATACTTTTCCAACCTTATATTTTGCTCTGTCTTTGTCTCTAGGTGACTTGACACGTTCTAAGTAGCCTTGCTGACCTTAGAAATAAATAGATTAAATGCACTAGTGGCTCTTAAACTTGTAAGGGTGTGATCTAGGTCCGTGAGTTTTAAAAATGCATTTTTTTTATTAAACAGGAGGGGTCACGGCCCTACTAGAATTTATTATTTAAAAAAGGAACAAAAGGGTACAACTTCAAGTTCAAGAAACAAAAAAGATAAGAAAAAAATAGCAAGGATTACACAAAGCCTTCTATCCATTGATCTATAATGAGGATGAGGATGCATTTACTTTTGGTCGACTTTGATTGAGTAGATTGAATAGGTGCAGACAATGAAATCGAATCCACATTGGTGTCTTTTGACATTATATCTATGAAGGCGCCTTCGCAATCCATTGCAAACTGTTCTAAAATGATAGTATAAAAAAATTCACAATGACATAGCAAACAGATTTCATAGCAATCCCAATGACAGACTATAAAAAATTTCACAATGACATACAGAACAAAAAAAAGTTCACAATGACATAGGAATCAAATTTCATAGCAATCCCAGTGATATATATCTCACAAAAAATTCACAATGACATAGTGCAATACCAACCTGTAGGGGTGTGGGCGCCGATAGGGTTGGGCAGCGTCAGGCACGTGGGTGCCGGATAGGTAGGGAGCCGACCAAGAGAAGGTGGCGATAGGCGTGGAGGCGACACCAGGAGGGGAAGAGGCGGCGTTGGGCAAGGAGGAGGCATCATCGAGGTGACGAGGAGGGTGGTGTGTGCGAAGGACCAGGCGGAGGCATGGAGTCGAGCGTGGCGTGGGTGGGGAAATGAAAAGAAAGGAAAAGTATAGGCCCCCTACTTGACCCATGGGAGTGGATAGCGACGGATGATTTGGGCAGTCAAGAAATATGGAGGGCAAGTAGGTAGCTTATCAGAGGCAACTTTTCTTTTGCTCTACTACTCAAATATACGCCCTATTCATTTGGGCTTGTTTGGCTTATAAACCGTACTTTTTCAAGCCAACGAACAGTGTTTTTCTCTCACAACAGATCAGCTACTTTCAGCCATGACTTTTCAGCCAAACATGCACAAACGAACAGGACGATAGAGTATGTGGCCATTTAGGTAGGCTGATGAAGATGCTCTAAGGATCGTAGGGGGTGTAGGTTGCAGTTTGGCGGTGGCTATGGAGTATGACGTAGTTGTGGTTGACTCCCACTTGTCACGTGGCGGTAGCTTAGGGGATGTCTGAATCCCAATGCTAAAATGAGCCTATCTTGTGATAAGAGGTTAAACATGGGCTAATTATAAGCTAATATGATTACCGCATTTAACCCTTCTATTTGGCGTCAAAAGTCAAAACTCAGGGTTGATTGTTAGCACCGGAAGAGGGCGTGTCCGTTTGTGTGTACGCTGAAGTGGTTGATGGGAGTGGCGGGCATGGGATTTAATCAAAGACGTTCATTTACATCCAAAGACGCAGGATTCAGCTGCTGAGAGGAGAAAAAAGATACGCATATATATGTAGGGCTGATGAACCCAATCATAGTCGTAGAGGAATTACCCCGAACTTGGCGAGAAACGTTATGCATGGTTGTTGCATTAGTATTCTACCCGTTTGCTTGTGACGATCGACTTCTTCATCAGCATATATATGTCTTGGTGTGCCTGAAGTGAGCTAGCAGCTCTCGGCAAGACTGCATCACTGCTAGTGTGCACCTTTTCTATATATAAGCACACATTTGACATCTACGTTGGTCCAGAGACAAAAGAACCACGCCTCTCAAGTCTCAAGCATCTCTTGCCCCTGGAGGAAGATAAAAGGGCCACAAAAATGGATAAGATCTTGATCATCGTGTCTGCGGTGGTCGGGTCTCTGGGGGTGCTCAGCGCCATCTTTGGGTTCTCGGCAGAGGGCACAAAGCTGACTGTAAGCACTACCGATCTGCTAGCTATACATTTTTGCAAAGATGCATATGACCTTGTTGTTCTGTGAGACGACTGACTCTGAGCTAGGTGCACGTACGATGTGCAATTTTTGCATTTTGGTCCCTTTTAAAAACATTTTTTTATAAAAAGATATATGTCAAAACGTTTGCTGAAAATAGACCATTTTTTAGGCGTCTTAGAACATGACGCCAATGTATGAGGGTCGGCGTCGACTGACACGACGCCGAGGTCTTGCCACGTCACGGACGACCCCGGTCGACGGCGACACGGTGGCGCATGGGGTCCGACACGTCGGCGTTGTCAGCCAACGCCACAAGCCCAACCTCGGCGCGGTGGGACTACACGCCGAGCTATTGGCACCATCCGGCGCGCGGCCCAGGTGGCCCAACAACGCTTCGTGGCCCAATAGCTCGGCGCGGGGCCACTTAACGTCGAGCCACCAGACTTGGCGCACCCGACTCAACGCCGAGGTCTGAACTCTTGAAGCCGCGCCGCGGCCCCCTTCTTCCTCCCTCCATTCTGAAAGCGCCGGATGGTACATGAAACTTAGAGATAGGTAAACTTTTTTTAGAGAAAGTCAAATCTTTTTTTCAGTTTGGGAATCAACCATAGTACATGAAATTTAGAGATAGGTAAACTGCAATTTATGAAATAGCGAATGCACAACGATTACACTCACATCAAAACTAACAATGACATGTCGCAAACTAAACCTAGCACGCCTTAGGGGATTGAAAGAAACAAGTGATACAGACATTGCAAGGTACTACGATTACACACTCACATGAAAACTAACAATGGCATGTTGCAAACTAAACCTAGCATGCCTTAGGAGATTGACAAGAACAACTCATACAAGCATTCCACATTCGGATTGACTAACAAAGGTTGGTCCTAACAATGCTCCCACATATTGAACTGAGTTGCGCCTTCCCCATAGTATCCTCCAGTTGACGGCGGCGGTGGCGGTGGCGGTGGCGGTGGAGAAGGAGGCCCGTGCTTCTTATGGTACAGGCACTGGCAGTACGGATTATTGCATAGTGCCTCCTCTGCATCATTGCTGTCGTCGTCGTCCGACTTGTCCCTGTTACCACTTCCAGGGCCATACTCTAGGTCAAAGATGCGTCCCTGTAGATATGTGATATACTGTTGATGGGGATAGATAGGAGGAGGGTCGACCCATCTAGTGAAGCCACAGTTATCTGGACAGCTTAAATCCTGAAAACCCATCTACCAATAAGTACTACTACAAACCAAATGCAAATCTAAAAAAGGAGAGAGTTCAAAGGAAATACAAATCCTCACAGGCATCTGAAGAAATGACGGCCTCCACCGTCACAGTCGTTGTACATCTGCACAACGCAATCCAAACCGTGGCGGCATTTTGGCCAATCTTCAATGCGCTTGTCGTATGATCTAAGAGGTCTCTCACGGATGAAGTCACTCTTCCTCTCCAAAGGAAATTTCTCTATTGGTTCTTCAAAAGAATTAGGACACAGAGAACCCTCCCACACAATCGGAGGTCCCTTCCTCACCTCCTTTCCTCTCCCTCCGCCGAAACCCTTTCCACTCGAGGAACCTCCGCTCGACATTTGCTAAAACTAAACCAGAAAACAAGTTGTGTGGATGTGGAGCAAGACATGGAGCACTATATATATAGAGATGAAGGCAGGTTCTACTTGAGAAAAAACTTATGTGCGTACTCATTTATTGAATCTGCAAAGGCTAGATGCTTCATCTGAAAAGCCTACAACCATGACTGGTCATTTCATCTGAAAAGGCTACACCTGTGTTTTGTCACTTCATCTAAATGCAGTACATCACTCTGATATTAATTCATTGCGTATACGGATACAACAGTAAACGAATCTAGGCTTTTCAGTGAGTTTTCAAATAGACTTTTCATTGACTACAACAATATTTGTAGCCCTTTCAGTGACTGCAACAGCACAAGTAGCCTTTTCAGTAATACAAACA